TTATTCAGATACTAAAACTGTTGTAATTGACCATATAGACATAGTAAGATACTCATGATAAGATTCAAGCAAAAAAAAAAAAAAAAAAAAGCAGGGTAAAAAAATAACCATTTATAGACTGATCCTATTTTTGTTACCAAAAGTATGTGAACCACTACATACACACAAAAAAAAAGGGGGTTTGGAGAAAAATGTATTCAGTAGTGGACTTATAAATATTTTATATTTTCTACTTTTTACTTTTCTATATTTTATTTTTTCTACCATAAAACATGACTATTATTTTTTAATGCAAGGGATATTAACTGCTCATTATAATTTAGATTGATTCTAAAACATGAAGCCAAAAGTAATCACATTTCATCTTTATTTTAAAAACATATTTACATATTTGATATTTTGCTAAATATTTTAATATTTAACCTAGTTATCCAATTAAAAATTATACATATTTAGTACCAAGAATTAGGAAGAGACTTTTTTTTTTTTTTTTGAGTCAGGGTCTCACTCTGTCACAATCATGGTTGACCACAGTCTCCACCTCCTGGGCTTGAGTGATCCTTTTGCCTCAGCCTCTGATGTAGCTGGGACTACAGACACGTGACATTACACCTGGCTAATTTTTTTTACTTTTTGTAGAGACGGGTGTTCCTGTGTTGCCCAGCCTGGTCTTGAACAACCTCAGTCTACCAAAGTGCTGGGATTATAGGCATGAGCCACCATGTCAAGACTTCTTTTTTAAGCAATGGATTTCTACTTACTACCATAAAGTACAGTAGTACAAAAATTAAAGCTTTTGAGCTTTATTTATTTTTATATATCTTAACTCTTTATCATCATTTATTGAGTGGATGTGTCTCAAAAACTTATTTAAGCACCTGGAAGTATTTAAACCTTATCTATTATTATTATTCCCATTTTTAGCTCTATGGCAGAGGAATTGGAGATGGGAGGTTAGAGGTTGAGAGATTACATCAAACTCAAAGACTACGTGTGGTCAAACCCAATATTCTCCAGAGTTCGGGTTCTGAACTATCTAGGAACCTCAACTACATATTTAGGGCACCCTGTGGTCTTGAAAAGAGAGTGAAGATCAAATATTAGCATGAAATGTGTTTACTGGAAAACATCAATTTTCTATATTTGTTAGAAAGCAATTTTTACAGCATTATGTTGGACTTATCACGGTTTATAAAACGTTACTTTGAGATAATGATAACAAAATAATTTATGACTACACTGTGACTTAAGTTTATAATTTGAGTCTCTAAGCACACATTTTGCTAGGAGTCTTCTTTCCAGCTCATCATTTTGAACACACTATGCCTGGGAAAGGCTCTCTCCTTCCAAAACTAACCAAACTTGCAGAAATCACTAGGGTATGGTGCTTGTGGCTCCTAATTAAAAAAAATCAGTGACTACTAAGCAATAAGATTAATTTGACAAGTAAAGGTTTAAAAAACTGGGCTTGCTATGATATAATTAACTCATTCATTCAACAAATATTTAATTGAGTTCCTCTAAGCACTATTTTAAGCACTGGGGATACAGTAGTGAACCAGTCTCCACCCTTCTGAAATATATATTGGAAGTACAATTACATAGCTGAAGGTCATAGTCAATAGTTTTTTATTAGCAGCCTAAGGTATAAAACTTAATCTGCCACTTGAAAAATCTGCAGTTCACTCTAGGAGCTGAGAAGCTCAGTGAGGAGGAAGCTCAGTGCTAGCAGTTGTTCAACTTCCCTGGGCAGGAGAAATTCCTAGAGAACAATTCCAATGCCCCACCTCCAACTGCCTGACTCTGAGGCGAGGTGACAGAAACTTTAACAAGCCCCTCAGTAAATGCTGATGCAATTGATCTGAGGTCCAGACTTTAAGAAACCCAAACAGTAAGTGGAGCCATCCAGTGGAATGCTCATTCAGAAGGGAACAGCTCTATGGCAGAGGAATTTGAACTCAGTAATATAATTCTCTGCATGTCATGTCATTAATTCTCTGCAACTCACAAATTTAGCAAATTTAAAAGATGAGTAAGAGTAGAGGAATTTACCAGCACCTCCTCCTTATCTCTTACAGGAGCTTTTAGAATTTGTCCCAAACTAGGCATTTGGGGAAAAGATAAACTTAAGTAGAGTTCTACTATCAATATTAGAGATAAGCAGTATTAGAGATAGTAAAGAAAATTGCTAGCCAATTGAAAAAAAATGCTAAGAGGGACAAACATTTCACGGAACTAACTTGCTACCGCTTGTTTTATGCCCTATTTCACAATGCTCAGTATCTGAACAATCCACCAAGTTCCAAAGTACATTAAAAATGTGTTCATTTCCTCTCTTACTCAGGCAGAATAATAAGTGTTGTGACGGTAACTTGCACCTCAGAAGTTCCAACAGATATATTCTTAGAAAAAGAAATACTAATTTTTTTAAAACATGCTATCAGGAACAATCCTTACTGGGCTACTTAAAGGTGTTTGAAATAATTTTACCACCATCATCGAATTAGTGATCCTCTATTTTTAATTTAGATCACTTAAAAGTTCCTGGGTTCTTTACACACTCTCCCGCAGAAACAATCTCTCTTCAGTATGTATTCTTTAAATATTTTTAGTTATAAGAAAACTCCCACTAAAACAACATACTTCAAGCAAACTAGTAAAAAAATTTAACAAAAATATAATATTTTGTCTTCATAGACTGACAGAAATAATAACTAAGAAAGGTGTTTAAGCTTCTGCATTCTCAACCTTAAAGTCATCTAAAAATAAAAGTATCCCAACAAACACATTCCTCCTATTTTGAGGGTTTAAAGTGGCACCATGCAAACCAGCTGGCCTGCTGGATCCTGGCCCCAGTTCCTGCCCTCACATCCTGTCCACTACATAATCCATGAGGTCTCTGTGCCTTTCTCGTCATCCGTTCAAGGGGATTAGTAAAACAGCCTCCCCGCTGACAGAATTGAGATTTTCCAGATGCATGTGTACAGTATTTGCTTTTACTATCTATCCTTTTTATTAGCCTTGCTTTTATTATCTGTACGTTTTGACCAAGGGGAAGAGCAACAAGAGAAGGATACCAACAGATAAGCACAAAGAAACGCATCTGATAGGACCAGGCATATATTTAAATTTTCAGGTTGGTGCTGCCTTCAGAATAGCAGACGATGGCAAAGTTCTAAAGGAAACTTTCATATTGAAGAGGCTATCGAAAATCTCCGTAACCTCCAACTCAACGGAGAAGCCGCTAATCTATTTCTTCAAAAGCAAAGCCTTCTTTAGTCTGAATCACAACAAAAGATTGCCCACTGGAAATGAAATCTGCGAAGTTGTTTTCCAATCCAAAAGCAAACAGAAGTGAAGGAAGGTGCAGCCTCGCTGGTTTCCTTTTCTTGGGAATGCTGACTGCATTTCCTCGTTCAAGAACTCGCAATTGTGCCTTGGGTCCATACCACAAAACCATGTCCGTGCGGAAGGAAGGGAAGGAGAAGCGGCAGACCCCGGGGACTCGCTCACCCTGCAAGGCGAGCCGCTTTCTGCTGAATACCATCAGAGGCGGCCCCGGCAGCACGGCTTGGGGCCAGACGGCATTGACTGCCCTTCACTGACAGAGGGATTTTGCAGACACGCGAGAGAGAAGAAAAAGGGATGAGCCAGGGACCGGAGGCCCGGGGAAGAGGCTGGCGGCGCGATGCCGCTCCCAGCGGGCTCGGGTTCCCCGGGAGGCTGGTGAGGAGGCAAGGCTGGGCCGGCCCGCCACACTCCGGCGGCCGAGGGAGGGCAGCGAGGTCGGCCCGGGGAGGACCGACGGTCCCGATGTCCCCCTCTGCAGGGAGGGAGGGAGCCCGGCTCCGCCGGCCCGGGGTCACGGACGCCCATTCAACCCGAAGCCCGTCCGGAGGCCGTCACCCCCACAGCCCGCCGCGGCGCCCCGGCCTCCCGGCGCTGGTCAGCCGGTCGCCCCGCCGCTGCCCCCGGGAGGATGGGAAGGACGAGGCGGAGGGCCAGTC